CTCATCTCCCGCCAGGCAGACCCCTGTGCTGTCATGGCCCTGCTCACCTCTGGACGCCGCCATGCTTTCTCTTGTCTTGTGCTCATAGAACTTCGATTTCTCCTAACACATGTAACCCTCAAACCTGTTCCTGCCTTCTCCTTTTTGGTCCCTCCACCATCACCCCTCAGCTCTGCCACACCTCCCCTCGCTTCTCCCTGATACTGTGGCGCCCACAGCTCCTGCAGCACAGCGACCTGCACACCCATCCTAGGCCCAGAGGACAGTCCTCCCACGCCTCCCAACTGGCACTGGCCTTCGGACTGCTGCTTTCTTTTGGGCACTGATGTTGCCCCACCACTTGGCGAAAAAAGAGACTTCGGCCCACAGGAAGCGCCGCCGGGGGTCTTCCTGTAGCTTGGACACCATGCTGTGTAGGATGTGCTGGGTCTGCTCCGCATAGTATTTGTCGAAGGTCTTGATCCAGCCTGGGGGCCAACACAGGGGCTCCTTGAGGAGGCTACATCTTAAACTGTCCCTCTTTTCCCTTGCTATCAGAAAGTCCACTTCATACCCCAGCTCTAGGAGTCCACTGGCCCCCACCTGGGTCATTGTGAGAGTGGGGTACCACGAACACTTGCAGGTCTTCGGCATCCCAGTCGTGCGGGCCGTAGGAGATATCGAAGCCTTGCTTCCATACTCCACCATCCACGTTGTCAAAAGGCAGCTCCTCCGACACAGTCAGCATCTGCTGGGTAGGAGAGCCGCTCAGTGTCCATCCATGGCCACCATGGGTCCCAGCCAGCTCTGACTCTTACCTGCAGCTCCGGCTTCTGTCCCTGACCCCCCAAAGCAAACTGGCAGTCTTGAGGGGAGATGGAGAAGAAGCTGGGCCGGGGTTCCGGTGGCACCACCCACGAGCCGTTGACGGTGTAGTAGGGCAGCAGGGCAGGCGGGCCCTCGGCGTTGGCGGTCAGCTCCAGCACAGACTCCTTGATGTGGCTGATGATCTCATGGTTCTCTTCCAACAGCTGCTCCAGCTGCTCAATGCGGTTCTGCAGCACAGAAATTTGGCTCTGCCAGAAAACCAGAAAGCAATTACACACAGCTCGTAACGCCTCAGGGAGGGTCTCTGCCTGGGGCCCACCACCTGAGGCTTGACTATGACCCTGCCCTCCCCAGTGGAAGGCAGAACCATGAGCTTATGAGGCCAGACGGCTCTGGTCAGATAAAGGAAGAGGTACGAATCGCTACGGAGGACTGCAGTCCACTTGGGCTGGGAGTACCCTCACTCTCTAGCTCCAGGGAGGCAAAGATTTCACCTTGCATGCCTACTCTCCACAGTCGGTGTTGCCTGTCTGGAGCACTGTGCTGACAAGAACTACACGCGGGCTCGGGGGGAAGGAATGGCGCAATCCGTCAGCAGTATCTTCCAGGAACTCAGGAAACAGAATGGCAGTCCACCACGTCATTTTTCCTTCCTTCCTTCCTTTTTGTCATCATTGTTTTTAGCTTTGGGTTTCTAGAAAAGCTGCCTATTGGCAAGGAATGTTCTTGTCCTGGACTGACGTGACTCTCCAGCTGGGGCGCTAAGCTGAGCTCGGGCAACTTTATGTGAAGACATCAGCCGCCAGGCGTGACTCACCCGGGGGAAGTTCCCACCACTCTGGTGTCGGGTGGGATCATGCTGCACTCGGTCCAGCATGAGGTAGAGTGAGAAGACAGCCACGCAGAAGATGGCAGCCCCACACACCGTCACCTGCTTTTTCAGCTTCATGCTGGCCTCCACATGCACCTGGCAGGAAGGACACGATATGGAGTTCCAGCATGCAAAATGCCTTCCGTGGTCTTTCCACCAAGCATTCCGAGGAACACCTATTTGCCTGACTCTCAAGGAAAGCAAGCTTCTAAGCACCAAATCCTGACACTGGCTATGGATCCTGATCCCATCTGATTTTATTCTCTTGGTTAAGACACAGAAAGCACAAGTAAGCAACCCATCTGAAGCTGGTCCTCCAACGTCATGGTAGCAGCTCTGGCCTAAGGAGAAGATGAATCTCTTTCCCCCCGAGGCCGATGATATAAAAAACACAACCACATAACAAACTTCCCAGCTCTGGCTCCAGAGATCATCACACAACCTCCTGATTATAACCGGCTTCCCCCAAAGCTTACCTACAAGAAAGACACAGCCCGGCAAAGGAGGTAGGTGTCCAGACTCCTTGACCCTGTGCTTCTTGGTTTCAGAGGAACAAATTTCTATCTATTTTGATTTGAAACATATAACCACAGCCCAGAGAGACTGACAGAAAAGCCTTTCTCCCTGCCCGCTTGGATGAGGCTGGTACTCAGCAGAAACAGTGCCTGGCACAGCTCCTCTCTCATTAGGAAATACACAAAGAATTTAAAAAGCAGCAGCTTGTGTTCGTAACACAGAGTGAGTCTTCGTCCTACTATTAGTTCTGATTCCGCAGTGGGTAACTTTCAGCCTCTGCTTACGCAGCATTTAGAGGACCCCCTGGGAAGCCAGCAGTGACTGACTGATGCTGAAGATTCCCTGGGTAGGGAGCAGACAGGAGTTCCTAGGTAGTGGGGCAACTTCGAACGACCAGTGCCGGCTGCCCTTGCCTGCGGGCCCCCACTTGCCTGCTCCGCGGAGGGAGGCCGCTAGCTGCCTGTCCAGCGTGGGGGGAGCCTCCGCTCGGAGCCTCCCTCTGGCCGGGGGCGAGAGCGCTGTCGCCTATGCCTTGTGCCCTACTTAGCGCGATCTGATTCCGCTCAGGAGCCTCGGGCAATATTTTTAGCCCTTGGAGCCTGGTCGCAAGCCAAAGTGGGTGGAGCTAAGGAGAGACAGTAGGATCACCGCGGAAGCAGGCACCTGCACCCGCCCGCTGACCGGCCCGCGGCCCTCCCCGACTCCACCGGTCCTGCGACCGCGACAACTGCCCGGTGCGGGAGCGCGGGCAGCCTCCGACCCCAAGGCGCCGCTTGCACTCCAGCCGCCCAAGCCCGGCCGCGGCGGGACAGCCGAACCCTCCC